GAGAGTGGGTATCCCTGTCTTGTTCCCGATCTCAGAGGAAAAGCTTTCAGCTTCTCTCTGTTCAGTATGATGTTGGCTGTGGGTTTATCATATATGGCTTTTATTATGTTGAGGTACTTGCCCTCTATACCCATTTTGCTGAGAGTTTTTATCATGAATGGATGTTGAATTTTGTTAAATGCTTTTTCAGCATGTATGGATATGATCATGTGGTTTTTGTATTTCTTTTTGTTTATGTGGTGGATGATGTTGATGGATTTTCGAATGTTGTACCATCCTTGCATCCCTGGGATGAATCCCACTTGGTCATGGTGTATGATCCTTTTGATATACTGTTGAATTCTGTTTGCTAATATTTTATTGAGTATTTTCGCATCTATATTCATCAGAGATATTGGTCTGCAGTTTTCTTTTTTGGTGGGGTCTTTGCCTGGTTTGGGTATTAGGGTGATGTTGGCTTCATAGAACGAGTTTGGGAGTATTCCCTCCTCTTCTATTTTTTGGAAAACTTTAAGGAGAATGGGTATTATATCTTCTCTGTATGTCTGATAAAATTCTGAGGTAAATCCATCTGGCCCGTGTGTTTTTTTCTTGGGTAGTTGTTTGATTACCACTTCAATTTTTTTGCTGGTAATTGATTTGTTTAGATTTTGTGTTTCTTCCTTGTTCAGTCTTGGAAGGTTGTATTTTTCTATGAAGTTGTCCATTTCTTCTATGTTTTCCAGCTTCTTAGCATATAGGTTTTCATAGTAGACTCTAATAATTCTTTGTATTTCTGTTGGGTCTGTCGTGATTTTTCTTTTCTCGTTTTTGATTCTGTTGATGTATGTTGATTCTCTTTTTCTCTTAAGTCGGGCTAGAGGCTTATCTATTTTGTTTATTTTCTCAAAGAACCAGCCCTTGGTTTCATTGATTTTTTCTATTGTTTCATTCTTCTCAATTTTATTTATTTCTTCTCTGATCTTTATTATGTCCCTCATTCTGCTGACTTCAGATCTCATTTGTTCTTCTTTTTCCAATTTCGATAATTGTGACATTAGACTATTCATTTGGGATTGTTCTTCCTTCTTTAAATATGCCTGGATTGCTATATACTTTCCTCTTAAGACTGCTTTTGCTGTGTCCCACAGAAGTTAGGGCTTTGTGTTGTTGTTGTCATTTATTTCCATGTATTGCTGGATCTCCATTTTAATTTGGTTCTTGTTCCATTGACTATTTAGAAGTGTGTTGTTAAGCCTCCATGTGTTTGTGAGCCTTTTTGCTTTCTTTTTACAATTTATTTCTAGTTTTATACCTTTGTTGTCTGAAAAATTCGTTGGTAGAATTTCAATCTTTTTTAATTTATTGAGGCTCTTTTTGTGGCCTAGTATGTGGTCTATTCTGGAGAATGTTCCATGTGCACTTGAGAAGAATGTGTATCCTGTTGCTTTTGGGTGTAGAGTTCTATAGATGTCTATTAGTTCCTTCTGTTCTAGTGTGTTCTTCAGTGCCTCTGTGTCCTTACTTATTTTCTGTCTGGTGGATCTGTCCTTTGGAGTGAACTGTGTGTTGAAATCTTCCAAAATGAATGCATTGCATTCTACTTCCTCCTTTAGTTCTATTAGTATTTGTTTCACATATGCTGGTGCTCCTGTGTTGGGTGCATATATATTTATAATGGTTATATCCTATTGTTGGTCTGAGCCCTTTATCATTATGTAATGTCCTTCTTTATCTCTTCTTACTCTCTTTGTTTTGAAGTCTATTTTGTCTGATACTAGTACTGCAACACCTGCCTTTTTCTCCCTATTGCTTGCATGAAATATCTTTTTCCATCCCTTGACTTTTAGTCTGTGCATGTCTTTGGGTTTGGGGTGAGTCTCTTGTAAGCAGCATGTAGATGTGTCTTGTTTTTTTATCCACTCAGTGACTCTATGTCTTTTGATTGGGTGCATTCAGTCCATTTACATTTAGGGTGGTTATCGATAGGTATGTACTTATTGCCATTTCAGGCTTTAGATTCGTGGTTACCAAAGGTTCCAGGTTACTTTCCTTACTATCTAAGAGTCTAAGTTAACTCACTTAGTATGCTGTTACAAACACAATCTAAAGGTTCTTTTCTATTTCTCCTCCTTTTTCTTCCTCCTCCATTCTTTATATATTTCGTATCAAATTCTGTACTTTTTGTCTATCTGTTGATTTTCTTTGGGGATAGTCAATTTAATTTTGCATTTGCCTCGCAATCAGCTGCTCCACCCTCCCTACTGTGATTTTACTACCTCTGGTGACAGCTATCCAACCCTAGGAACACTTCCACCTATAGCAGACCCTCCAAAATAGACTGCAGAGATGTTTTGTGGAAGGTAAACTCTCTCAACTTTTGCTTATCTGGAAATTGTTTAATCCCTCCTTCAAATTTAAATGATAATCTTGCTGGATAAAGTAATCTTGGTTCCAGGCCCTTGTGCTTCATGGCATAAAATACATCATGCCACTCCCTTCTGGCCTGTAAGGTTTCTGCTCAGAAGTCTGATGTTAGTCTGATGGGCTTTCCTTTGTATGTGATCTTATTTCTGCCTCTGGCTGCTTTTAACAGTCTGTCCTTATCCTTGATCTTTCCCATTTTAATTACTATGTGTCTTGCTGTTGTCTTCCTTGGGTCCCTTGTATTGGGGGATCTGTGGATCTCCATGGCCTGATAGACTATCTCCTTCCCCAGATTGGGGAAGTTTTCAGCAACTACTTCCTCCAAGACACTTTCTATCCCTTTCTCTCTCTTCTTCTTCTTCTGGTATCCCTATAATGCAAATATTGTTCTGCTTGGATTGGTCACACAGTTCTCTCAATATTCTTTCATTTTTAGAGATCCTTTTTCCTCTCTGTGCCTTAGCTTCTTTGTATTCCTCTTCTCTAGTTTCTATTTCATTTATTGTCTCCTCCACCGTATCCAACCTGCTTTTAATACCCTCCATTGTGTTCTTTAATGATTGGATCTCTGACCTGAATTCATTCCTGAGTTCTTGGATTTCTTTCCATACCTCCGTTAGGATGTTTATCATTTTTATTTTGAAGTCTCTTTCAGGAAGAGTCATGAGGTCCATATCATTTAAATCTTTGTCAGGAGTCGTATTAACAATTTTACTCTGGACAAGGTTCCTTTGGCATTTCATGTTTGTATATGGTGTCCTCTAGTGTGCAGAAGCTCTATTCTGGAGCTCCTGAGCCCCTGAATCAATGTCGGGTGTCGCAGGGGAGTGGTACTGGTACCTGGGGGGAGTAAAGAGCTGTTCCCTGCCTCCCAGCTGCTGTGCCTGTTTCCACTGCCTGAACCAGTTGGCCCATCACACAGGTATAAGTTTTTGTCCCAGAGTAGGCAGATATGTATCCCTGCTTTCCACAAGCAGCCAGAATCCCAGTCTCCCCAGGAACTCTGCCTGTATTAACTTTTCAACCCAGTAGTCATGCGAGTTTCATGAAAGCACCATGAAATGTAGGTTTGTGCTCCCAGAGCAGATCTCCGGATCTGGGTATTCAGCAGGCCCAAGCCTTCCACTCCCTCCCTGCTCCGTTTGTCTTCCTCCCACCGGTGATCTGGGGTGGGGGAGGGGCTCGTGTCCCGCAGAGCCACAGCTCTGGTACGTTACCCCGTTTGGTGAGGTCTGCTCTTTTCTCCAGGTGTGTGCAGTCTGATGCCATCCTCTTTCCTGTTGCTTTCTTAGGATTAGTTGTGCCAATTAAATTTTCTAATTGTATCCAGTTTTAGGAGGAAGCCTCTCATGCCACCATCTTTAATCCCTCTACTCTGCCACTCATCTATTTTTAAATAAACTGTAAAGATGTATTTCAGCTGAGAGGCAAGGCAAATACAAAATTCAATAATGGCATCAAAAGATTAGTTTTAAACATTGAAGTCAGTGAAACAGAATTAAAAAGATTTTTTAAGTGATTTCAAGACAAGAGGCAAAGATCATTTAAAAAAAAAAGACAGCATAAAAACATTGAATAGTAATCTGGAGTTGTGTGGATAGGGCTACTCATTTCTTTGTGTTACATATTTTATTTTATTTGGTATGTGAATCAGTCAGAAAACATTGGTTTTTTAATATGATGGTAATCTTTAGTAGAATGATAAAAATGGATACTATCAAAATCACTAGAATAAGTAAATTTTAGTATTTTTAAGGAAAAACTAGAAATCAATAAAAATATCAAAGAAGCATAAGAACAAAATCAAAATGACACATTAACACATGCAAAGATGTCAACAATGACAATAACTATTAATGGGTTAAAATTTCCAACTAAAATGCATCAATATTCTCAGACTGAGTCAAAACAGAGTCAATCTTGTGCTCATTACAAAGAAGCATATTATCAAACAAAAGAAGAGTGGTTTAAAATAAAACAGCTAAACTGTTTTAGACAAAGTTAGAAAAAAAGAACAAAAGGAAAAAAAGCAGATATGATATTAGTGCTGATTGTGTGGAACTCAAGGCGAGGAAAGAGCACTATGCAGGACAAAGATAATGATTATTTTATTTTTATAAAGGGTAACCCTCTAACAGACATAATTGTGTATATAACATATCATCAAAATGTATAAAATAAAACTAAAAAAGTAGTAGATAACAATTCTATTAGTATTTGATATGTTGAGTTGGTAAAATATTAGTAAATTTATGTTAACTGAATGGCATAATTTTTAAGGTTTAATTGTTAGATATATATGTACATATTTAACTTGTACCCCATGAACAGAGGATAAATTATCTTTCAAGAATCCATGGAACTTTGTACAAATTGATCGTAAATTAGACCACAAAGAAAATACGGAAAGATTTAAAAAGTGAAAATGATGCAGTATCTCATTCTTTTACTGTAAAGCAATAAAGTTTAAAATTAATATCAGATTAAATAAACACTCAAATACTTGGACAGTAACTAGATGAAGATACCAAAATACAATTATAAAACATTTAAAAAATAAATATAAATATGCTGTTCTCTGAATTTTTCTACAGGTTCAAAGATTTTCATAATAAAGTCTGAAACACTATGATGTGAGAATTACTTAAGTTTGAGTACTCGTTCTGCTCTCTTCATCCTGCACTGGAGAAAGGAAGACCTTTATGTACAACTTTGTTTTATCATGAAAAGAACTTCCATAGTGAGTATCACCTGGAGGAATTGTGTGCTTTGAAATAGTGTGGAAAGCCACTTCTGTCAGCACTTCAGAGACTTATTTTTTAACTGATTTCTCTCACCAGGAATATGGCCTTCAAGAGCATGTGGCCATTCACACCACTTATATACTTTAATACAATCACTGCACAGAGTTATTCATGTGGTCATTTGAAATCTGGTAATATAATCCTCTCATATGATAGTGTGCTTTTGTGAGTTAGAAATCAACATTAAAAAGGCTCATGGATTTAATTTAGCTTCTGTACAATTGATCACTCAGCACATCATTGCAGTCTACACTATCATGGAGGAAGGGAACTAAGTGGGAAGAAAAGAGCCAGAGTTCTCCTTTCATATAGAATTAAACCTTAAATCTTTACAACTATCCTGCTTGTAAGAATATGTACCCTGTGGTGGGAATTCAAGATTTAAATGTTATATTAAAAAAATCAGGATAATTTGACTTTTTAAATTTTTAGCTGTGAGAATAAATGGTAAAACTACCTCTAGAATATCAAGAGGTGAGCACTCTCTCAATTCAAAATGGCACATTGTTACCAGCGTTGGTTAAGGTAAATAAATATTTTTGAGCCCAACTTCTGGTCTCATATCTGTTCCCTGAGTTGGTCACTGTTAAAATGAGGTTCCCAAATCTTTGATTATTTCCGCCCCCTTCTTCCCAAATTTCTGCAGCAGTTACCACTTGATTTCCTTTTTTCACCTTGCTTTTGTTTCCTTTTCTATTTTAGCCAGGTAATCTCATTATGCAATTAACAAATCAACAGTTTTTAAGTGTTTGAATGAGAGTTTAAGAATATCTTTTGAGAATCTAGAAATATGATCATCTTAAATCATGCAATCAAAAATTATTTTTCAAAGAGTTTATCATTTTAAGAATTGACTTTACAAGGCTCATTCAGGATTTGCCACCCTTTGATTTCACTAATAACATTAAGATAATGAAAGTTCATCATGAACATGTTTAATTTCTCACTTTAGAATTTTTTTCTTTTGTGTCATTTATCTAGTTTTTAGATAAATGTCTAAATGCAGTGGTTGAGAGCACAGACCTAATGAACCATACATATCCTTAGAAGTGTTTCCCTCTGGTATAGTTAAAAAAACTGTTGAAATATTACTGCTTCTAGCAATTAACATTTTTTACCCTAATAATTAAAGCCACTTGAGAATAGAATATTTAACTGTAAGTGAGTCTACCAAGTTTATCTCTCAAGATAAGAAAAAAAGAATGAAACTTTTTTATGTCAATTATATCTCAATAAAAAGAATTTTTAAAAAAACTTCTTTGTTAAATGCTCTTTGTTAATTTTCACAGATTGGAAAAGGAGAAGTGTTCTTTGGAAAAGCTGTCATTTATTGCCCACATAACTTATTTATCTTTATGTTGCAAGATTTAAAGAGAGAAAATACTGCAAATAAAATAATATCCCATCAAATATTTGCCATATTCATAAGTTAAATATATCCCTTTCCCTTCCTCCATAATCTTCTTTTTTTTATACAATTTAAGTACTTTATTTAGTTCTGTTAGAAATCTGGATTTACAATGAATGGGAAAAATGGCCTGAAGGCACACTGATGATACCAGTGTTTGAAATGGCAAAGTGAACAATTTGGCTATATTCTATTTTAATTCAGATAATATTCATTTTCCTTTAATTCAACAGGCAAAACAATGTTCATTCCTATACATTTTTTTTTGAAAGGGCATCTCTCATATTTATTGATCAAACGGTTGTTAACAACAATAAAATTCTGTATGGGGCAGTCAATGCTCAATGCACAATCATTAATCCATCTCAAGCCTAATTCTCGTCAGTCTCCAATCTTCTGAAGCATAACGAACAAGTTCTTACCTGGTAAACGAATTCTTACAGAGTGAATAAATTCTTAAATGCTGAACAGTACAAGGGCATTCATCACAGAAACTTTCGGTTTTGATCACGCATTACGAACTATAAACAATCAGGTCAAATATGAATATTCGTTTGATTTTTATACTTGATTTATATGT